GACAAAGACCAGTACCATTGGTCTGTGGTCCATGGAGGAGAGAAAGTAAGAGAAGATTAGAAAGGCAGAAAGGTAGAGCCAGGTTATGAGAGGCTTAAAAGCCAAACAGAGGATTTTATATTTGATCCTGGAGGTAACAGGGAGCCATTGCAGTTTATTAAGTGGGAAGGTGACATCTTTAGAAATGAGCTTTAGGCAGATCAATTTGAAAGGCTGAGCAGAGTGATCTTTCCCCTCCCCCACTCTCCAGCAGTCTTTGTTTGGTCACAAACATGAATCCCAGCTTGGAACGCTATGTCTGGAGCCAGACACTGGGGTGTGGGGGGTGGGGTTGGGGAACCTGCTGGAAATCAAACACATGCACAGACCCTTTGACTAGGACTCCCCAGGCAGAGGCACATCTGAAAACAAGTCAGCTTTTTTGCCATTTTGTGCTTTCTCTTGCTTCTTCTCGGGAGCAAGCTTTTGAAGACTGGGCTTCGTTCAGAAGTCCTAGCCCAGGGCTCCAAACTCTACTGGACCTTGAGTGCTTTGCATGTAGCTGGGTGGTTGATTGGTTGATTACTGTCCTTCATCCTTGGAGAGGACCAACATGACCACAATCATGGTCAGAGTCAAGTGCCGGCGTGTCCTACTGTGGCTGATCAGACCAATACGATCAGACCAATGCCATTCCACAGGTCGGGCACAAATAGTCCATGTGAACCTTCGCGGTGGATTCTCCAAATCTGCCAATCTCAAGTTTCTTTTGAGCTACTGCAGTTCTGCTTTGCTCAGGGAGCCCAGCACCTTCTCTGATGAGGGCATGCATGCTAGGAGGTTCTGTGCCAGTGTCTCCCATGTCACACAACCAATTTCAAAGTTCTTAAGAGACCTTGAGAGTGTCCTTGTATTGTTTCTTCTGACCACTTGCCCTGTGTGAATTCTCCATGAAATAGTCTTTTAGGCAAGCTTGTGTTTGGATTTGAACCATGTGGCCAGCCCTATGGAGTTGTGCTCTTTGCAGTAGAGTTTGAATGCTTGGCAGTTTAGTTCAAGAAAAGACCTCAGTGTCTGGTATCTTAAACTGTCAGGTGATCTTCAGAATCTTCCTAAAACAATCCAAATGGAAGTGATTCAGCTTTGCATATAAAAGGGTCCATTAAATGAGTAAGAGTCCATTGTTCAGAAGGCCCCTAGAATAATTACCCGATGCACAGGTCTGACCATATCATTCCCTTTCCTAAGGACCTTCCGTGTGTAGAAGGACCTTCCTATTATGTCTGGGAAAAAAAATATATATATATACATATATATATGTGTGTGTGTGTGTGTGTGTGTGTGTATATATATATATATATATATATATATGTGTGTGTGTGTGTGTATATCTATATATATATATGTGTGTGTGTGTGTGTGTGTGTATATATATATATATATATACACACACGCATATATATATATACATATATATATATATATATATGTATATATATATAATCTTTAGCTTGGCATTCAAGACGCTCTATAATCTTTCTCCAATGTACTTTCCCAGCCTTATTTCCTATTAGTTCCTTTCAAGTATATGAAATATTTACTGTTCTCCCATCTCACCCTGCTCTAGAATGCTTCTCTTCACTTGTACAGATGGTCACTCACGGCTGAGATGCATCTGTCCTTTCTGCCTATTTGAAATCTTCCTCTTCATTCAAGTCCTAGCTCAGATGCCACCTCTTCCATGAAGCCTTTCCTGCTAATCCTTTTTCATCCTCTCTAGCTTGTGAAAAGATGAAGATGCCCACAAAGGAGGGACAGATATACATCTGAAGCTACAGGGGATATAGAGCTGCTGCTGATTTCCCGGGGCCATTTAAAGGATAGCAAGTAGCCTCAAGGCTGTTTTCACTGCTTCCTTCAAGATTTAGCTCAAAATCCATCTTCTTCAGGAGTCCATTCCCCACCCCACCACCTTCCCCTAGGTGCTAGAACCTCTCAGATAACTCTGTATATCATTTGCTATTCCCCCTGTTGTCCTCCCCACTTGAGGGCAGGAACCGGTTTCATCTTTCATCACATCTCTAGTGTTGAGCCTGATCTCTGACACGTAGTGAATCTCTGATATTTGGCGGCTTCTGGACTACTGTAGGTTAGCATGAAGGCAGCAAACTGGCTGAGTGTGGGGGGAGAATGGAGTGTAGCCTTGAAGCTGGTTCTGTGGTGGAGTAAGTCGTAAGATGAGGCGGCTGGGTGGTGCAGTGCATAGAGTGCTGGTCCTGGAGTCAGGAAGACCTGAGTTCAAATCTAACTTCAGACACTAGCTGTATCACTTAAGTCACTTAACCTTACTTGCCTCAGTTTCCTCATCAATAAGAAGAGTGGAAGGAAGTGGCAAACCACTGCAGTATCTTTGTGACCCAAATGAGGTCATGAAAAGTTGGATACAACTAATTGACCAAACAAAGCCTCAGGATGGGAGCAGAGAGCAAAAGAGGAATGGAACATATGCCCCATGTTCTAGGTCTAGTGACCTAGAACCTGGGGACATAGGACATATGCAACTGCAAGCCTGAAACTGACCTCTCCTCCGTCAAGATTTCTTAGAGTATTTTGGATCTCTTCTTTGGTAGGTCAACCCCTATAAGAAATAACACTTATTTATGGACATAATGACTCTAATCTCCTTGAAGGCAGGCATCATTTTATTCCTAAGGCATAGAACAGTGCCTTACATATAGTAGACATTTAGGAATAAATTATAGAGTAAATGGAAAACTTAGCACAGAAGGGAAAGCCATAGTAGCTAGCAAGACCGGAAAGGGCCTTCTGCAGAATGAGGCACTGCAATGAAATCCTAAAGGACCCCAGAGATTCTAAGAGGTAGAGGTGAGGAGGGAAGATGCTCTTAGTCAGGGAACAGTCAGTGCAAAGGCATGGAGGTGAGAGGAGGGATGCCGTTTTTGAAGAACAGCCTCTAGGTTTTCCATGGCCAACCAAGATTAAATTGTCCTTATAATGATCTGGAATTTACTGACTGGGAAGGTGACTTAGTCCAACATGAGTTATAGGAAAACATTTTTAAATTGAATTTCATAACTGAATGAGTGTATTTCAGGTCATATTTTTAGATTTTCAGTGTTGTAGTAACTATTAGTATTTTATGTATCATGAAAAGTGGTCCAGCCCTTTTCATTTAATGGAGGCAGCTTGGGGGGTTTAGTGGATAGAACACTGGTCTTGGAAGCTGGAAGATCTGAGTTCAAACCTGGCTTTAGACATTTACTAGCTATATGACCCTGGGCAAGTCACTTAACTGCTGCCTGCCTCAGTTTCCATAGCTGTAAAATGGAGATAATAATAACACCTACCTCCCTGGGGTTGTTGCGAGGATTAAATGAGATAATATTTGTAAAGCACTTAGCACTGTGCCTCCCAAATAGCAGTGCTTAATAAATGCTTGTTTCATTGTTCTTTGCCCCTTAACTGGTTTTAATGCTTTTTTGTTTTGTTTTGTTTTGTTTTCACCCAGTCCAGATTCCTCCTATCCTGGCCCATCTCAGGGCCAGCCTGCCCAGCTGCAGGAGGAGGGGTTGCCTGGGAGGCTCCAAGGGCCTGGATAGAGGACAGGGTTTTTTCCTAATTCTGTTGGCCCAGAGTCAAGCTAGGCTTTCCACAATGATGAGAGCCTAGATTCAATGGACTGATGATTAGATTACCAAATTGTAGGAATTACAGATGGAGAAGGATTACATCATTGCCTCATTGCTATGATAAACTCAAGCAAAACAGGCCTGTCTCTGGGGGATTCTTGGGAATTTGTCCAGCCTCAAATGATTATGGAACACAGAATGTTAAAACAAATGGGACCTTAGGCCATAGACTGTGAGTAATTGGAAGGACCTCGGTACACAGAAAGTCAGAGCAGAAAGAACCTTCGAACAAAAGGGAAGGGAATGTAGAGATTACCTAGTCCAAATTCCTCTTTACATAGACAAAGAAACTGAGGCCCAGAGAAACAAAGAGACTTGCTTCAGGTTACATACAAACTAGTGGCAGAAGTGGGAGCAGTTACCCCAATTCCTATCCCTCGTCATCTGGTTGGTCCATTAAACCACGATGCACCATTTCTGTAGAAATAGGAATTGTTATTTTTGGAGGGAGTCTATCTACTGGAGGGTCAAGAGTGGGAGAGAGTTTTTAACAATGGCTAGAAGGCAGGGAGGTCAAGAGGGAGAAAGGCAGGGAAGCAGGCCACAGACGGAGAGCTGATAGCTCATCACCACTGACTTCCCCATTGTCAGGGTGCTGTCTCTATGGCAGTCATGTGACAGCCATGGCATCTGCCTGGACCAGGACAACAGATGCCATATTTCTTTCATTGGATTCGTAGGATTTAGTGATGGCAAGAGGGTAATCTAGTACAGGGGGTCTTATCCTGGGGCTCAAAGATCCCCAGAAGATCCATGGATAAATTTTAAGGTGTCCATGAAGTTTTTTAATGTGATAACTATATTTCAATATGATTCATTTCCTTTGTAATCTTTTCTATTTTGTGAATTAAAAAAATTTATGAATTTAGAAATTATGAATTTAAAAACGTTACTCTGAGAAGGGGGCTGGATCCAGACTGCCAAAGGGGCCAGGACACACAACACACACACACACACACACACACACACACACACACTCAGATTAAGATCTCTTTGTCTAATAGAATCTGCTTATTTTTCAATTGAGGAAACTGAGGTCCAGGGAGGGGGAAAAGAATAAAAGATGACTTTTGTCTAGTGCCTTAGAGTTTTCAAAGTACTTTTACATACACAGTCACATTTGGTCCTCACTACAACTGCATAAAGGCAGGTGCTGGTGGTGTTACTGTCCCCATTTTACAGATGAGAAAATGGAGGCTCAGAGATGTGAAATAACTCATCCCTAGCCATAAAGCTGGTGAGTTTTAGAGGTGAGATTTGAATCCAGGTTTTCTTGACTCCTAATTCAGTTCTGTCTTTGCTGTGACTTACCCAACATCACAGTGGTAGGAAGAGATAAAACCAAGATCTGAAACATGTTGTAGTACTCCAGGTACTGGCCTCTAGGAATCCAAGGAAGACCAAAAAGCCTAGCGAAGCTGTCCAGGCTCCCCCACAGTCAAGCTCTGTAAGAAACATGGCAAGTATTTCATAGATGCTCTGATGACAGAGGGGTCAAATATCCTGCTGGCCCATGCGACCCACAATGATCCCAGGCACAGGTAGAACCAGATTAAAATATAGTTCCTATCAGATTGTAATTGTTGATGTACTTTTTAAAAAAGAAAATACACAAATGTGCGGTTTTCTGAGTCAACTGTGCAGCTTTCAGGGAACCTGATGTATGGTACAGAGTTCCTGGCTTCTGTCTGAGTTTGAGCTCACTGTTTTAGAGGGAAAAGAAGGTGGAACCAAGCTGGAGAAGGGGAAGATGAATCCTGTGGCCTGTAGGAGGCTGGATGCCCCACAGGAGCCCAGGAGCTGGTCCAGCCAAACCACTGTCTTCAGGCTTGCTCGTGATCCATTCACATTTGTCAAAGGATCAATTTCCTCGCCTGGAGTTTAAAATAATAATTCTTATTTTGATGGTGCCTTAAGGCTTGAAAATGGTTCCTCCCCACTGCCCCCCAAACCCTGTGAGATCAGTGATTGTACTCATAGCTGACATCTACATCTGGTTTCAAAGTTTGCCAATAATTTTTCCAAACCTTATTCTGTTTGATTTTCCCCTTAGAGCTAGGAAGCACAGGTATATTTATGCTAAATTCACAAGCATCCCTAAGAGGGATTAAGGTTAGGTTAAGTGACTTACCCAGGATCACACAGCTAGTGTCAGAGGCAGAATTGGATTGGAACCTGGATCTTCCCGACTTTACAACCAGCTCTCTATATGAATACAAGAATATTTATTGACATTATTATTATTATTATTATTGTTATTATTATTATTTTGTTTTTTTGGTTAGGTTAAGTGACTTGGCCAGGGTCACACAGCTAGTAAGTATCAAGTGTCTGAGGTGAGATTTGAACTCAGATCCTCCTGACTCCAAGGCCGGAGCTCTATCTACTGTACAACATTATTTTTTTTTTTTAACAACTGAAGAATTGGAGTTTCAGAGAGGTAATATGATACATGGGATCACAGCATCATAGATTTAAAGTTGGGGGGAGGAGAACTTCCGAGACCATCTAGTTCCAGCCTCACATTTTTAAAGATGAAGAAACTGAGGTCCCAGGAGGAGGCTTTCTGAGTAACTTGCTCTAATTCACTCAGGATTTAGCATCTAAGGTGAGATTTGAACTCAAGTCCTGCATCTCACTGTTAACAATGCCCATGTTTATGTCTACCTATAAGAAGCCCAAGTTTTACGACTTCATTGTAAATGAGTTAGGCACAATTAGAAAAGAATGCTTGGGAGTGAAGTAAACAGAACGCAGAGAACAATTTATACAATGATAAAAACGTTAGAGAGAAAAACAACTTTGAAAGACTTTAGAACTCTGATTAATCCAGTGATAAACCGTGAGTCCAGGAGACTGAAGATGAATCATACCACCCACCTCCTGCCAGAGAGGCGATGGACTTACAATCCAGAATGAGACATGCCGATGTGGCCATGGCCAGTGTGGGAATTTGTAATGTTGAATTATGTGTGCTTGTTGTGACGGTAGGTTTTTTTATTTTTGTGGGATTTCTCACTGTTGTTTTGAGGAAGCTGTGGGAGGGAGAGATAAACACTTGTGAAAATAAACTTTAAAAAAGTTTTTAAAATGGAAAAAGATAGTTTTGTTTTGTTTTAAAGAAAAGGATGATTTTCTAGGCTATAAGGGAGAGCAGTGGGAAATCTTGACCTTCCAAGACTGAGGTTCTGGTCCTTACAAAGACAGACAATGGCATAATACAAAGAGCACTGCATTTGGGCAGAGAAGACCTTGAATGGAAGAAAATCCGGGCTTTGACCCTTGGCTAAATTACTTCCTTGGGATTCAGGTGTATTTATAACATGCGGAGGTTTGACTAGATAATATCTAATGTGGGGCCCTTCTATTTAGGACATTCTATGGTTTTATGGGGGCACTCTCACACAGAACAAACAAAGCTGGAGAATTGTCCAGTGAGGCTGTTGTAGGGAGGGCAATGGTTTACTATGGAAGAATAACTCTTCCCCTCTGGAGTCAGAAGGTAGGGAAGGTGAGAGGACCCAGGAGCCCCCAGGCTCACATGGGTAGCATTGGGTCCATGACTTCTAGAAAGGTGAGTGGCTGAGCTGGGACTTACACCACCCAGATGTCCTGACTCCCCATTCAGGCTCTCATTTTCCTGGAGATCATGAAGCAAAGGTAGGATGCCCCATTTTCTGGGATGTTGTAGTGAAATTCTAGTTTGCACGGGTAATCTCTGAGGGGCCCCCTTATGTGTGAGGTTCTAGAATTCGGGAAACATACCTTAGAGTTTGAGGGTATAACAACGATTCCTGGCAGTGCATATAGCAATTACAATCATGCCAGGAAAGGGGGAAGGTTGGCCTTTCCTCCTGGGATGATTGAAGGGAGAAGGCAGACTCTGGAGGACTGACAGTCCTAAGGGTAACCGCTCCGGGTGACAGCACGAGCCAGGAGAGGACTGTGAATTGAGGCATGAGTACAGCAATCACCATGGGAAGTGCATCCCCTCTTCCAGATGCGGGCATCCTGGGCCAAAACCCTGTTCACCTCATTCTGTCTTCAGCTCCAGACCTGAGTACCCCAACCCAGTTCTCATGTTGCTACTCAGGCTTCCATTGGCTTTTCTTCAGAGCTTTTTGCTCATTATCTAGACAAAAGCTGGAGCCTGAAGGCCACCCAGCAAATGTTCTGCTCCTTATCTGACAAGCTCTGTTCCTCTAATTGTTTCCTCATATCGCTGAGCTTTTCTTAGGAAATCTCTTCTGCTCCTTAGCAAACTTCAAACTTCCTTGCTTGCTGTGCAAAGTCATTTTTTCCCCCCCTGCTTCTTCCAAGTGGTCAGTAATTATTATCCTGCCAGGTTCTGGGGAGAGATTTCTCTCCATATCTTCAGTAACTACCCCTGTTCTCCCCAAGTTCCACCAACCTACCTAGCCCGGATCAGCTTCTCCTTTTGTGTGGCCCATTCCTGGAGCTCTAGGCTCACCTGGTCTAGGACTTGGTGCAGTCTAGAGGACTTTGCAGGGATGATCATACTCTTTGCCTTGGGCTGTATTGGAACCAGCTCCTACAGGCTAGAGAGAATGATTGTTAAATTTTCAACGGGAGCATTTACACTTGAGAAGTCTGCAAGTTCTAGGAATCTGGGCTTGATTCCTTGCTCTGTTGATTGTAGAGACTTAAGAAAGTGAGAGTGAAATGTTAATAACAGAGATTAACCTTAGAGGTGTGTCACAGGAGCTTTTTTCCCACCTGGAGACCCAGTTGTTAAACATTTACTAGCACATAATACTGCTCTGCTCCACCAAGTCTCCCTCCTTCCCAACCCACCCCCATCCAGGACCAATGAATTGGACTCACTTTTCGCCCTGCCCTTAGGGTATCTAATTTCCTTGCAAATAACAAGCTAAGAAAACAAATAATATGGAGTAGGTTAATTAAAAGGCACATAAAGTACAGAGAATGGGAGTGTTATCCTAGCACCTTTAGTGAAGCAATAGCTGTATCACACCCTCAGGTGAATGTCTTTAAAAAAATTTGATATATTCTGTGTTAGCCTGGCTCTATTTTCTGAATATATTCCTCCTCTCTCCCCTTCCCAGCAAGTTAGGTGAGCATCTTTTCATTCCTCTCTGCCTAGAAGCCCATAGCATCACCCATTTATAATTGGCTGGGTCCTTGGAGGGCATCCTCTAGCTAGCCCCAATCCTCCCATCTCACAGATGTGGAAATGCTAAATGGAAAGCTATTTAAATGTCTGAAGAAGGGCTTAACTCCAAGCCTCCACACACTAAATCCAGAGTTCTTTCCAAATACCAAGTTTCCTCTCAAAAAGAAAGAAATCCACCAGCTAAACTCATGGAGGGTGTCAGTGTGAACGTACAGCTTCCTTACAACAACCTCGTAAAGCAGGGTGCAGGTATATTTTCCCCTTTCTCCAGACAGAGAAACTGAGATTCAGAGAAGCAAACAACAAAAACAAATAAACAAAAACACACATAAACAACAACAATTCCCCCCAGCCTCAAGGCTTCGTAGTTAGAAATGGCGCAACAAGGTATTTGTCTCTTCCCCCTTATTTTTCTATTTAAATAACTAGGGAGAAAGTAAGTGTATTCACTCCACAGGTGGCCCTAGTAACTAGGAGAGACTAAAGAAGGTGGAAGGGGACAGCTCGTGGGGAAGAGACGGGAGGGCGGCTTATTTATTGTTGATGATTTGCTGGGTTTGAGGGCTTTCATCTTGAATCAGGAAGACAGCATCAACAGATGAGCGGCTGTAAGATATTTGGTATCGTTTGGCCACAGTATCACAAGATGGCCTCAAATAGATGAGAGAGATGGAGGAGGGAGGGGGAAGAAGGAGAGAGAGCAGAGAGGAAGAGAAAAGGACCATCAGGCCGAGATAAAAACGGATTCAGAGACAGACACACAGAAGGCGAGAAGGGGAGAGGGAGGCAGGGGAGAGAGAGAGAGGAAGAAACTAAAAAAGGAAAAAGGGAGAGAGAAGACGGGAGGGGTCATTGTACAGAGCCCTGGGGCTGAAGAGAAAGGCTTTAGAAGGTGCAAGGGGACTAGGGAGAGCAGGACTCCACTGCCCTAGGGTTGTGCTGGTAAATATATAACAACTGATTCTCTAGGGGGAAAAATACATTTGGCAAACTTTTAAGTTTAAGTCGCATTATTCAAATTTCTTCATCACTTTCTTAAATCCAGACAATCAACAAAACAATGCACCAGTCCTTGATTTGTAGCGCTTGCAAATTGCTGGGTGTAAATGCTCGTTCTGAAAATTTAACAAATGGCGTTTGGAGCTGACTCAAGGGTACTCCTAGGTAGGCTGCACTGCTCAGCCGTGCCAGACCTCTGCCCCGGTCTCCTGGCTTTCCTTCTGCTTCCTGGGCTCCTTCCTCAGTTTGGCAAGGGGTCCTACCAACTTCCACCTGTTCATTTGTTCTTCGATGTTAACAGCACTTTTTGCATCTGGGCAGAGGTGCTCCCTGCTGGGTTTCCATCAGAGGGGCTGATGAGAGATCCTCTTACTACTCAAGGGCTCTGCCAGCCCAGGGTTCCAGTCAGTCAGTCAACAAGCATTTATTAAACACTGAGCGTTAGGCAATGTGCGCGAAGACCTGGAGATGGAGCGTAAGACAAAACTAGGAGCTTATACTTTCTAGTGAGAGAGACAACTCCAAGAAGTTTCTTCGAATATCCACATCTTTTCCTTAACTCAGACTCTGTCCCTAACCTCCAAAAATGGGCCATAGGGGGCACAAAGGAGTCATAAAAAGGGGGCATAGAGGAGTCTTTAAAAGCCCCCTAGAGAGATGTTGAGCCATAATATCTACTTCCTGAAAGAAATGCTAGATTTAGAGTGCGGAATGAGACATATATATTTTTGTATACAGCCAATGAGAGAATTTGTTTTGCTTAATTATGTATATTTGTCACAAGGAATTCTTCTTCTTCTTCTTCTTCTTCTTCTTCTTCTCTTCTTCTTCTTCTTCTTCTTCTTCTTCTTCTTCTTCTTCTTCTTCTTCTTCTTCTTCTTTACGTTTCCCATGGGGTAGAGGTGGGATGGAGAGAAAATAGATTCGTTAATAATAATAAAAAAAACCCTTTAAAAATAAAGAGGCTGGAGGTGGTACTACAGATCTGGAATGTTGCTAGAGCTTTCAGATGAGGTCATTGTATTGTTAGTTTTGTTTAATTGTTCCACTTTGTTGCATGAGAGCTCTCATGGAGCGTGGGTAATCTGGAAATGTTTGTAATGTAAAAACAAAGCACATCAATAAAATTTCTATTTTTTTTAAGCCCTGCTCTTTGAAGTTCGGGAGGGGAGGATCCACTGATAGAAACACACTCTCTTAATACTGCCCAGCCCTTTTTCCAGAGAAATGACTATTAATAAAAATAATATATCATAGAAAAGAAGGAAGGAAGAAGAAAAGAGGAAAGAAGAAAGAAAGAAAGAAAGAAAGAAAGAAAGAAAGAAAGAAAGAAAGAAAGAAAGAAAGAAAGAAAGAAAGAAAGAAAGAAAGAAAGAAAGAAAAAGGAAGAAAGAAGAAAAAAGGAGGGAAGGAAGGAGGGAAGGAAGGAGGGAAGGAGGGAAGGAAGGAAGGAGGGAAGGAAGGAAGGAGGGAAGGAAGGAAGGAAGGAAGGAAGGAAGGAAAGGAAGGAAAGGAAGGAAGGATGGAAGGAAGGAAGGATGGAAGGAAGGAAGGAGGGAAAGAAGGAAGGAGGGAAGGAAGGAAGGAAAAGCCAGAATTTTTGGCTCATCTGGCTTCCGGCTAATGGCTCTTTTCATTAAATTATACCTTCCTCGTACAAATCAGCTTCTCTGTCTAGGCTGTCGTTTCCTCTTCTGCAGTACATGGTCTCTGAGGTACTTCGTAACTATGACATTCTGTAGTCATAGCTGCAGAGGCTCTGGGGTGCTGTGGAAGAATGTTGAGTTTGGAGTTTTTTGGAGATCCTGGATTCAAATCACAGTTCTGAAATTTACTATCCAACTGATCTTGACAAATCCCCTAACCCTTCGGGGTGTCAATATCTTCATTGGAGGAAATGAAAGGGTTGAATTATATCATCTTTGGGCTCTTCCTGCCTTCCACCTACAATCTAAAAGTTTTTTTTTCAATTCTGAATTTTTCTTCTCTTAGGTCAATTCCTAAATTGACATTTTATATTCTAAGTTTCCTCCCTGGTCAGACTTTTTGTGTTCTAAGGTCCCCTAGCCTCTCTGATATTCTATGTTGTATAATTCCATCCAGCTCTGATTATGTTCTCTATCCTAAGGTCCCTACTGCTCTGACATTTTACACATTTATGGACCTTTTCTCTGTTTGTTTTTCTGGTCAGGCCCAGAGGATGACTTCCTTGGAGTCCGCAGTGAAGGATTTCTTCCCACCATGTTGTCTGGCAGCCTCGTCTCATTTCCTAAGCAGTAAAATGTTCAGTAAACCCGACTGAAGCCAGCTGCTATTTAAAGCCGATGTTTGGGGACATAGGTCAACAATATCATCTTGGCAGCACCTGTGGATTGCCAATGTTAGCACAGCCCTGAAGACAGGTGACACCCAGAGCTGGCAAACAGTGGCCTACTCAAGGAATGATCTTCACACCTGTTCGATGTCATCTCTGGTTTTTGGACAGCCGGTGAGAGACATTTCTCTCCCTTGCTTCTTGAATAAATGAATATGTAAATGCCCTGGCCTCAGTATCACCACTCCTGCTGCCTAATTCATAGAATCATGGTACTTAGAGACAGTGAGATCGTAGCCTGGTCTAATTCCCTCCATTGCTCAGACTCGGACACTGAGACCCCACTTGACCCAAACCACAGATAATAAGTAGCTGTCAGGATTGATCATATAATCGCAATCATAATGACGACACAAATATAGCTAATAATAATCATATCCAACATTTATGAGACCCGCGAAGGTTTTCAAAGCCCTTTACATACATTATCTTGTTTGATCCTCACAATGACCCTTTGAGGCTGGTGCTGTTATTATCCCCATTTTTCAAATAGGGAAAAGGATAACTGAGGAAACTAATAACCCATTTCCATAGCACTTTTAAAAATATACACTTTTCCTTCATAACCACCCTGTGGAGGACTTATTGCATGTATTCCTATGTTTACACAGATGAAGAAACTGAGCCTCAGAGAGGAAAAGAGGAAAAGTGACTTGTCCTATGCCACACAGCTAGCAAATATCAGGGCTGGGATTCGAACCCAGGCATTTCCTGAGACCATTGGGTCCAGCACTTGGCACTAAACCCATCTTGCCTCTAATTCCTGCGACTGGACTACTCTTCTTCCAAGGTCAAATCCAATGCATTCTTTACTACATCATACTGCTTGGGGAACACACACACACATGCACTCGCATGCACACACATGCACGCGCATGCACATGTACATCGGGTGCAAAATTGGGATTTCATTGCTAACACAGAGACCTTTAAGTGAGGAAACTCCATCCACTGCCACTGATCGGTACTTGCTCTGAAACTTACGGCCACTTATGGGGATTCTGAGAAGCCCTATGTGACTTGCCCAGGGTCACAAAGATAGCATATGTCAGAGGAAGAATTTGAATCCAAGTCTTCCTAACTCTGAGGACAGTTCCATATCCTCTATACCCTGCAGCCTCAGAAGGAAGCTTAGAAAATGGAATTGTGGAGCTGGAAGGGAATTTTGAACACAGAGGTGGAGAGGCCATTTAACTCCCTTATTGTACACATGAGGAAACTGAGTCTCAGAGAGGGACTATGACTTTCCCAAAATTATACATTTAGGGAATAGGGTTCAAATATAAGATTCCTAACAACAGACCCAATGATCTTTTCCACTAAGCCATATTTCTCTCTAAAAACACCTGTGACTTTTATTGATTAACTCTTTCAAGATCAGGATCTGAGTTAATATCCCTATTCCAAGGGGGAAATCCAATGGCATCAGATAAGGTGGCTTATTGTGAGATCCCCAACTGACTGTCCTCTCTAGGAAGTCCGTTGATGATTGAAAAGCCAAACTTCTGATCTGTAGGTGGATATAGTGTCTTGCCTCCCAACAGCCAGAGCATTTATCTGTTTCTGACTATGTGCCAGGCACTGTGCTAAGAACTTTTACAAATATATCATTTGATCCTCACATCCGCCCTGGAAGGTAGATGCAATCGTTATCCCCATTTTACATATGGGGGAAATTGAGGCAAATAGAGGTTTTTGTGGTTTGTTCAGGATCTTATAGCTAGTGTCTGAAGCCAGATTTGAACTCAGGTCTTAGTGACTCCAGGTTCAGCATTCTCTCCACTTCACCACCTAGCTGTCTCTAATAATTGCAGGGATAATTATGCAGCAGCCTATTTATTTATTCTCTTTGGACCTATGTCCTTCTCCCCCGAGTGTGGCTTCCATCTTGCTTTATATTTCTCTAATCTATGTTCCCAGACACCATCCCTAGCCTCCATCAGATGACCTGATGCAGGGATTGACCCTAAGGAGATGACTCCCAGAGCTGTAACTAGCATTTCTGACACTCGGCAGGCTTTATGAATTGGGACTGGGTCTGGCAGAAGGAAAAATGTTCTCCACCAATTTTTAAGACTTGATGTGGGAGAGGGAGGTGGTGATGAAGTAGAGAGACAAGTGAGCTCTATCATCCACACAGTGGACAGAAGAGTGGGGAGCCCACTTGGGTGCAAGCATCCAGGGGAATTGCCAGCTGGTAATTGGAACTAATTATTTCAATTAATAATTTTAACTAATTGTTCTTGCTAAATAGGTGCTGATCTCAATGGTTTCTAGCTGCTCCACAAATCTCTTGTTCTATCAATATATTTGCTCTGCTTCAGTTACATTTCCTTCTGCTAGCTCTACTTTGACTTTAAGATAGGAACTTGTCTGTTGCCTTCCTTTGGGGTCAAGAGGGAGTCATTGGAGAACATGTGTTAGTTTTTGCCATGTTCTCTCCTCCCTTATTCTTCTGGCTTTTCCTGGACAAGAAGGTGGTTGTTTACAGAGCTAAAAGCAGGGTGGGACAGCTTGGGACTTTGTCCAGAGTGGGCAGTTTGCTAGCAGAAATTGCTAGTTATGGCCCTGGAAGTTTGTGGGCTTGTTTACAAGTTCCTGAGGGTTGACCCCAGTTGTGGTATTTCAAGCAAGGGAAGAGATTATGAAATCACAGCATTAACTATACTCTGAAGCCGTCACCTTAATCCTTTTTCCTTCTCCATCTCTGTCATTGGGGAATGAGCTTGTGTGGAATCTCCCTGCAATTGTTGGGTACCAACCTAAATACATGGATTCCCCTCTTTCATATTCATGTCTTGAATTTGCTGCCAAGGGATTCCATTGTCCTAGGAAATACACCCAGGATAATAAAGGAATGGAAGAGTATGTCATGGGAAGATCAGTTGAAGGGACTTGGAACGTTTAGCCTGGAGAAGACAATTGAAGAATCACAGAGTTGGAGAGGGAACAAGGTTACCCAGCAAGTACCTGGGGGGGGGGGGCGCGTGGATTTCAACTCAGGCTTTCCTAATTCCAATTCCAGTGCTTTATCTACTATACCATATCAAGGGAGTCATCCCTTTCTGAGTAACCGAAGTTCTGTCCCAAGGAAGAGGGATTAAATGTGCTCTGTGGGACTGAGAAAAGTTGGACCAGGACTGGAAAAACAAAATGATAAAATCAAAGAATTTCATGAGAAGGGACCTCAAAAGCCATCTAAGCTAACCTGTACCTAACCAAAAATCCCTTCTACAACAACCTCGATGAAGTTTTCTCCTATAGGCCTTCAGTGACAGGGAGCTCATTACTACCTAAGGTGAGCCATTCTACCTAGAAAATGTCTTCTCACATTGAACAAAGATCTCCCTCTGCCACTTTCACCCCTTGCCCTTAATCCAATGAGTGAAACTTATGATTTTAGCTGATTTTAGCTCAGTACAAAGAAGGATTTTCAAATAAGAGCTGAGCTGCCTGGCAAATAGCAGGTACTTAAATGATTATTGACTGACTGACTGACTGACTGACTGACTGACTGATTGCTTCCTTGGTTGGTGGTTAATTCCTTATCATTGGAAGTGTTTGGATAGTTTCGGAGATTATTAGATTCATTAGGTTGTAAGCTCCTTGAGGGCAGGGACTGTCTCATGCCTCTTTTTGTATCCCCAGTGTTCAGCACAGTGTCTGTTACACAGTGGGCACTTAATAAATGTTTATTGAATGAACGAAGGAAGGAAGGAAGGAAAGCTATGGAAGAGATTCCACCTTCGGGGACAGTTGGTCTAGATGACCTTGCAAGTCCTCACAATCTTACTTTTTTCGGCGGGTGCCAACATGCATTGGGAGAGTAAATTTGCTCATCAGGGAGTTCCCCACAGTAATAAGAGGTTCCAGTCTGTCTCTTCACTATCCTTTTTTGCTACAGACTTATGATTTCAGTAGTGTGGGGAACTCCTTTTACCAAATGCTACCTAAATTAGCACTTCCTTTGCAACTTAAAATTGGGGGGAGTTCCCTGGGGGACAGAGGAGTTAGAGCAACTTGTCCAGGGTTAAGCAGATGATAGGTGTCCGAAGAGGGCATTGAACTCGCATGTTCCCGGCTCTGAGGCCACCTCTCTATCCACAATGTCATCAGTTTCTGAAGTCTGGTTACCGTGAGATCCCTTGTGACTCAAAAAAGGGGCAGACCAAGGCTTTAGAAATCAGGAATCAATCAATCAATCAATTAATAAGCATTATCAATGCCATCTCCCTGGCAACTTATAGACAGACTCACATACCACATATTTCCAGGGGGAGATAATCCACTCTGCTTTCGGATTGTACCACTGGGCTGAACTGCCTTCCTTGGGGCAATGAGGAAGCAAAACTCACCAGACCTAAGCTTCTTACAAGCAAGGATTGATCATTCTTTGTACTTGTTTGTCTCCTCCATGCCTGGCACAGGGCCCAGCACATAGGGGCTTAATAAACACTTGATGACTGATCGATAGGCAGCCCAGCACATAGCATATTTCCCACCCCATCCAACCACACCCTTTCTCTGTGATATCATTGCTGCTAAGCTTCCCCTCTTTCCCTTTTCCTCCTCTTATTTCAGGAACAGTAATTTCCAATGCTGTGGGAAGGACCCAGTGAATCACCTGCCCTGTCACCCTCACCCCCACCCCCTAGATGAAAACTCTCTTCCTGGGCCACAATTCCGCTATATATTTGTCACCCTCTGTTACATTGTAAGCTCTTTGAGTCTAGGGACTATCTCTCTTTTCTCTCTTTCTCCAGCTCCGGACACAGTGCCAAGCACATAGTAGGCATTTAGTCAGTGCTTTTCATTCACCCATTCATCTCAGAGCTCAGAGGCCATCTCTGCCAACCCTTACTTTGAATGAACAAGTATCCCTCCTACCAGATCCCAGGCCAGGGCTCACCCATCCTTTGCTTAAAGACCTGAATGGAAAGGCAAACCACCATGCCTGGAGGCAGTCCATTCTACTTTGGCTGGGGTATGATAAGTGAGTTTTTGTTTGTTTGTTTGTTCCTCAAGAGGAGATTAAAATTCCCTCTCTGGGGCTCTCTCCAACCGCCCCATCTGAGATCTCCGCTATGGGGCCTATCTGACTCAACCTAATCCCTCTTCCACAGGACAGCTTTTCAAACACTTGAGGACAGCTATCATCTCCGTGATAAGTAATCTTTTTCTCTAGGCTAAACATCTTCATTTGGGTCAACATCCTCAGCTGTGCACCCAGAGGCTCTTGAATCTTTGCTCCTCTGCTCAAAATGATTTCCAGTTTACCAATTGTCTTTGCTTCCAGAAATGTGATTTCCTTGGTGGAGGGCACTCGCAGGGTGGAAACTCCCTCTCCCAATGCATATCTGTACCTGCTCCCCAATTTATAGTCTTGGACCAGAGACTCTTCTTTATTTGGTGTCATGAGCCTCTTTTTTTTTTTTTGGCAGTCTCATGAAACCTATGGACTCCTTAGAATAATGTTTTTAAATGCATAATATAACATACACAGGGCTACAAAGAAAACCAATTATATCAAAATATAATTATTAAAAATATATTTTAAAACCAAGTTCTCATAACATAGCAGAGTCCATTGAAGGCTTTAGAAAGCTTCCTGGGGCAATGAGAGATTAAAGGGCTTTTTTAGGGTCACATAGTCAGTATATGTTAGAGATGGGACTTGAACCCAGATCTTCCTGGTTTCCTGAGGCAGACAGTTAGTACAGTAGATAGAGTGCTGGGCCTGCAGATAGAAAGACCTAAGTTCAAATTAGGCCTTAGACACTTAGCAGCTATGTGACCCTGGGTAAGTCACTTTACCTCTGCCTGCCTCAGTGTCCTTGACTGTAAAATAGGGATGATAATAGCTGCTTTTTTAATGTTCTTATAGGACTTTAGTGTTTAATGATCTTTACAGCAACTCCCTGAATTGGTACCATAGACATTATTATCCCCATTTTGCAGATAAATAACTGAGGCTTAGGGAGATTAAATAGCTGCCCGTGGTCATACAGGGAGTAGGTGTCAGAGGTAGGATGTGAACCCAAGTAGTTTCTGACCCTAAGCCCTGAGATTTTGTGTCAGAAGCCAGTTTTTTTGTGTGTGTATGTGGGGGGGGGGGTTAGGCATCAGCCTGTGGTCAAGACCTTGAGTCAGGGTCAGTTTGTACTCAACATCAGGAGATCTAATCTGTGACCATCAAGCAGGATTAAGGTAACCATCCCTCAAAGGGTGTCCAACCTGTGGTTTGCATTTTTTTTTAAACATTAGGAGCAGAGCTCTGAACCGCTCAGCTCCCCTGCCCGCTTGACAAGTAATAACTAAAGACTTTGGCTATTTTTTCCTAAATCGACTCTTCCTTTGCTCTGAACTTCCCCCAAAAGACCATTAAGATGATTCCCTGTAACCATGTCCTCTGAAAGCATTGCCACCTGGTTGTGACCGGGGGTGGGGGTGGGGCACTGCAATGTACTTTCGGATGATAGGCATGTCTGGAAGGCTTTGTCCCAGGGATAAATGTCCAGCTCTTCACAAAACAATTTGTTCAGAGTGTGCTTGGCACACTGTCAATTTGATGGAAGCTGCTGTCTGATTGGATGCTGGGAGAGTAAAGCTAGGAGTGAAGTGAGCCGCAAACAGCCTTGCTCTAGGAATCAGGATACTAATTGCCACTATTTCATTTGGTTACTCTGGGTATGGAATTTTCCTTCTCTGGACCAAAGTTTCTTCTGTCTAGCATTAGACTTGCCACTTCCTAAGGCCCTTTTCAGCTCATCATCTTTTTTGAAAAGTGAATGAACAGTACCTAGATTTTCCACTATTATCCCTTTCTCCACCACTCCCAGAGAGCCATCTTTTATAATAAGGCAAGAATGAAAGAATGAGAAAAATCAGCTAAATAGCCAGTACATTGAAAAAGTTGGTTTTATATTAATCATTCCGCACCAATGGTCTCTCCACCTCTGCAAAGGAGCAGGGAGTGGTGTAGTCTTAGATCTGTTCTTTTGGCCCAAGCTGAGTCAATATAATTTTGTCACTTTCAGTTTAGATTATTTTTTTTTCAATTGTTCCTTCCATTTATAAATGTAGAGGACTACTACAATAGGAATCCTTATCAACCTCCTCCAAATTATTTCTACTTTGTCAATTATCTTTCTTCCAGATTTGTCATTTCATTGGAAAACTCCAAATGGGAGTGTAGTTTTCCTGTCAGGGAGGAAATTCCTTCTGTTAACACATATCAACCCCTACTCTGTAATTTGTAGTCTTAGAACAGGGATTCCTAATCTTTTTTGTGTCATGGACCAACCTCTTTGGCGGTTTGCTGAAGCCAGACTATGTATATATTCTGGAGAAGCCCATACATATATATATATATATATGTATATATACACATGTGTATATATATATATATATATATATATGTATGTATATATACATATGTGTATATATATATATATATATATACACACACACATGTACGGTTCTGTTTTCTTCACCTTGTATCAGTTCATATAAGTTTTCTAATGCTTTTTTTTAATTCATCCTATCCATCCCTTTCAGTGAGGGTTCATTATAGCCATTGCTGTCACAAAAATGTGCTGCAAAAAATATCTGGATGAACTGAGGATTTTCTCTTTTTCACTGACCTCTTGAGAGCATCTGGCATTCTGTGTTCTAAGAGACCATCTAGCTCTGAAATTCAAAGGTAGCAAAGCAAACTAACATCATGTCGAAAGAAAAAGTGGGAAGATCTCACTCAGAGGTACTCGGTGACCAAGTCTCACCACCAGAGCAAACAGATGTGGCCACCAGGCAGGTTTCCATGTTAGGTCACTGAGGGTTAGTCTTGGCAATGGCCACCTGACAGACAAGAGAGTCCTAAAGATGTTGACCTTCAGCAGGGACAGAGGGCCAGGGCAGTTTGCAGTAGCCTGAAGAAAGGAGTCTACCTTTGTGTTTCTGGCAGCATCAAGTAACAGCTGTGTAGGAAAAAGGGGGCAGATTGTTCTCCCTCTGAAAGGGAAAGGCAAAAGGGCTTCTCATCTTGCTGGAGTCTTAAGGAGAACAAAGTATTCTTTGAAATAAGGGAAGAAGAGTGCTAAGGTAAAAAACCAAAGTAAGGGATCTGAAGAGGCAGAGGCTAATCCTGAACTGTGCCGGGAGGCTGGTAGCTGAAAGAATGTGACACAAAGAAGAAAAGGGAATGCTGAACACTTGGAGACAAGTAAAAGGCAGAATGTTCTTGCCTTGAAGGGAGGGCTAGACCCAAAGAGGATGAAAACATTTGGTTATGACGCAAGGGATGAGAAACAGTCACAGGTGTCCCTGGGCAAGAGATCATCATAGTAAGCCAAGTCAGGTCAACGAGCATTTATTAAGCACCTACTAAGTGCCAGGTGCTGTTCTAGGTGAAGAGCATACAAAGAAAGACAAAAGACAGTCCCTGCTCTCAAGGAGCAAATAACTACATACAGGCTCAATGAGGTAATCTCAGAGGGAAGGTGTTAGTGTTAGGAGGGGATTGGGAAAGGCTCCCTGCAGAAGTGAAGATTTCAGCTGAAGGAAGCCAGGAGGTAGAGATGAGGAGGGAGAGTATTGCCCAGAGTCTGAAGGTGCCATGTTTTATTGGAAGAATAGCCAGGAGGCTAGTGTCACTGGATCCAAGAGTACACAGAGGGGAAATAAGTCTGAGACTGGAGCAGTAGGAAGGGGATAGGTTGTGAAGGGCTTTAAAAATCAAACAGAAACTTTTATTTTTGGTCTTGGAGGTGATGGGGAATCACTGGAGTTCATTGAATAGGGAGATGATGTGGTTGGAATTGTGTTTCAGGAAAATCATTTTGACAGCTGAGTAGAGGATGGATTGAGATGGAGAGAGACATGAGGAAAGGAGACCAACCAGCAGGCTGTTGTCATGTGTAGACATGTCTCATGTGTAGACATGAGGTGGTAAGGGCTCTCACCAGGGCGATGGCAGTGTCAGAGAAGAGAAGGGGGCATAGTTGAGAGATGTAGTGAAGGTAAAATTCACAAAACTCGGAAACATATTGGATATGGGGGAAAGGAGTGAGAGAATGAGGAGCTGGGGATGCCAGCCAGCCTGGGAGTCTGAATGACTGGGAAGAGAATGGTCCCCTTAGCAGTAATCTGGAAATGGGGAAGAAGCCAAGAGGAAGAAGAGGTGAGGAGTGGTGGGAGGTGGCTCTTTGCAGAGAAGCACTGAGGTTGATTTACATTGATAGAAAGACAGATATGCTTTCTTCCTGGGGTACATATCCAGGATGTAAGGGAGAGCTTCCTAAAACCCATCAAATCTAATGACCACTCCCCACTTCATAAGGGGACAAATAATTCTATAATATGGAACCTCGAAAATATATCTGGAGATTGTCGGGTCCTTGGCAAGAAACTGAGGATGCAGGGACCACGATTATGGGAT